TTTTACATTCACTGGTCAACCCAAGTCGTTCCCATGGTTTATTGAGAGCACGACTCCTTACTAACAGTTTATCAGTGCTAACTAAGCCGCCGTCTATTGCCACATGAGACTCAGCGACACACGTAAGGTGAATGGCCTAAGCGTGACTGGGCAGTGTTACCCCCATTAACCAAGCGTGTCACACCTTCACTAACTGCTCAGACAAATACTGCATGGAATGTCTACTATACAAGGAACATTAACTCTACACTATCTAGTCAAAACATTAACTGGAAACACGGCCTAACAAAGATACTAAACACAAAAATCCTTTTCAGCTAACCGTCACTAACCTAATGTATTTTTTTACCTACTCGAAGCACTACGTCTTGTCTCGTCCAGTCCCACTACACAACTTCCCTGAGCTAGCTCTCCCCTGCATTCACCGCTGGACACGCGGTAATCCGTGTCAACTGTGTGAACTGGTCTTGGCCCGTTAATTCGACCCAGTTTATTCCGTGGTCAAGCTGCCCGTTCGCATACTGAGTTTTACTGAAGGTCCACTCGTTCATACGTGATGATTCACTATCATCACCTCTGTTCGTCCCATAGCCGAACTGGTCTCTGACACTTGCGGTCGGGCCGAATAGGAATAGTGGTTACCTTACACTCGTTTCTGCATTTACTGCGATGGACTGAAATAACACACTCTTAACACAATAGTTGCTGCTGCTGTTTAAGTCTGTCGTAGCGGGGGAAACTGTGACCCATCTTGCGTGGTACAGCAACTGGCAAGGACCGAGGCATTATAGCGGAGGTTCTCAAACTGGGCGCCTATGCCATGGGTGCCGCGGCGAAAATCAAGAAAAGTCGGCTATAAATTGTGACATTATTAAAGAAGGTATGAAAATATTTAAAAGTTAAAATTTAAATTGTCTTTCGTCGCCCCTATCGAAAAGAGTCAAAAACTGCATTTTATAAAATGAAGAACATCTTATGCAATAAAGCTTTGTCATTTAGGTAAGAAAAGAATTCTTGCTTGTTACATAAATCCAGTTTTAACATATGGCTGTGAGTCCTGGACAATCGGTAGTCAGGCCAAACAATTTCTTGAGGCCTCAGAGATGTGGTTTTACAGAACAATGCTTAAAATACAATGAAAGAAGTTTTGAAAGAGACGGGAGCCCAAAGACAACTAATCACAGACATCATAAAGAGACAGTCATTATTTTTCGGCCATGTTATGAGAAGAGGGAAAATGGAACATGTGGTGACCACTGGAAAGATCTGTGGAAGGAGGGACAGAGGAAGACAATGAAAGAAGATTCTTGGCAGTCTTTTTGCATGGCATGAAGGTGTGCCGGCACACGAACTGATACATGCTACAGGAGATAGCAGATTGTGGAGAGGCATACTCACCCATGCCAGTCGGAAAGGTATCTGATGATGATGATACACTATTCGTATGCTATTCGGCCGAATAATTGGTCCAGCTTGTTGTAATGGGCCGTAAAAATCACTATTCGGTACAGCCCTAATAATAATATATATGGTTGATATTACATCAATGAACCATACCCTTTATTACTGCTCTAGCCTTTTCTTTATACCTGCAGGTCCATTACGCCTTCTTGTTTTTTAATATATAATATATACATACTACGGTTGTGAGTCTTGGACTCTCTCTCAGTCACTGAGGAAAAAGATTGGAGCTTTTGAATTGAAATGTTATATAAATCTTTTTAGAATACCATGGATCAGGAAGAGGAAAAACATCGACATTCTGAACGAGTTGAACATCAAAGAGATTTGGCTCTTAAACAGTATCCTGTCTCGAAAGTTGAAGTATTTTGGCCACATCAAGCGTCATTGTGGCTTGGAAAAGACGGTAACGGAGGGTGCAGTTTGTGGAAGGCGAGGCAGGGGTCGACCACCGCGAAGATGGATATGAGACATTGAAGATGCATTGGCATTGAAAGCACATGGGGCTGGAGAGATGGCTAGGGAAAGGGATACTTTCAGGCGTGCCATGAAGAGAGCGACGTTTTGTAACGAACTTGCTTGTTGATTTTGTTTTTATATGTGTGTATATATATATATATATATATATATATATATATATATATATATATATATATATATATATATATATATATATATATATATATATATATATTCTAAAGCCTGGGAAGTCGCTGCACGTGGCCGCTCATCCTGGCTCTCGTCTCTTCATCCAGGAGCTGTGGCCCATGAAGCTGCTTGAAATGCAGCAGCCATTTAGAAAAGACAAGCCAGGAAAGACACTGAAGCAAATCACCAGAGAGATGTGGCTTTTCCCCCTTGCCTATATTGATCAAGAATTTCAGTGCTAGAATTGGCCTTATCAGCCATCCACGCACTTACGAAACATAATCCATTCACCACTGGATGAAAGGACTGGTCATCAACACCTTTGATGGACAAACATCATATATAAATATATATTTATATAAATATTTGATTTTAGGATATATATATATATATATATATATATATATATATATATATATATATATATATATATATATATATATATATATATATCAATGTTTGTGTGTTTTGTTTATGAGCTATAGAATCGGAAACTACTGAACCTATTTAGCTGAACTTTTAAGGATATGTTTGTTTTGATACCGGATGTTTATCCATCACGGTTTCAAATTCTACCTGTCATTGTTAGAGATAGGTGACCACATTTGTTGCAAAAATCTTCAAAACGAATATTTCCATTTTTAGTGGCATTTAATTATAGCCACGTTAGTAAATGCGCATGTGCGAGCGACTTTCACAGTGCATACGCAGTAGACACGGGACGCTCCTTTTTTTTTTTTTTTTTACATCCGCTCGTACAGCAAACCAGAGTATCTCTATATCGCTGATTGCGACGTTAACTATATTATACAAGATTTCTATTTTCTGTTTTTTTTTCAAACAACGTTCGATGAGTTAGAGAGTAGTCGGTGGATTTGAGAGAGGAGAAGAGAAAGGCGATGGGGGCGATCTATGTCTGCGCAGACAATTATTGCGACATTTACCGTGTTAGACACGTACGATTTCTATTATTGGGCCGTTTCAATAATACTTCAAGTTTATATCTGGGATATCTGTTAATGAGAAAACAATTGCCTGCGGTTTTGAGTTGTGTTAGAATCGGGACACACATCTTGCGTAGTTTTGTTATCTTTTCGTTGTTTAGAAGCAGTGATTTGCTTGTCGAATGGTTAGTACATTGGGTTCCCATGCGGGAGACGAGGGTTCGAATTCCTAGTACAGCAGTTTCCCTTTTTTTTTTTAAAATCCGGTAGCAAAATAAAACCCAGAACTGCTCTGTCGTGGCGACAGCACTAGCCATATGGCCATAAAAACTATTTAAAAAAAAAGGTATGTGGGTAAACCAGTTGATAATTAAATTTGACCATTTCGCATACTCATGATTTCTTTTCAAACTTTCTGATTGCATGGTAACGCTGAATTTTCGTAGATTTCCATTCATTTTTATTTCGATTTAATTATTTCTTCTGAGATTGCGTTAGAATTAGGCTGTATTTTTTAATCATAGCGTTCATTTCGTAATTATTGTGTACTTTTACTGTTTTCGTTTTCACTTGGTTTATTTCTCTTAATTACTTCGATGAAGGAAAGAGTAGTCGGTGAATTGGAAAGGGGAAGGGGGGGGGGGCATAAACTGGTAACTGAAAGACTTTCAAGTCAAAGTAACTGCCTTACCCACTCAAAGTAGCAGTAATAGTAGTTGTGATTGAGCGGTTACACAGTAGTGCTGTCATGCCGGAGACCGCCGGTAAGGTGATGACATTTTTCTGTCGTGGAGCGAAATAACACATCCTAACCTGACCAGTCCGTGCTGACAGCATTAGCTTTTCGGCGCCAAATCCTCTGGCTCACGACTCCCTGTCTACTACTACCATAAAACAGATAGCAGTGACAGTATTTTATTTATTGTGGTAGCGGTGGTGGTAGTAGTTGTACTGGTACTTGAAGGATATTGTGGTTAATATTACACTAGCCGCATTTACTACTCATTACAATTCCTGCTCCCTATTTTAGTCCTGTTTCAAAGTCAGTTAAAAAAAAAATATCGTCGGGTGATGACTTTCAAATCCTTCGATGAGAGAGAGAGAGAGAGAGAGAGAGAGAGAGAGAGAGAGAGAGAGAGAGAGAGAGAGAGAGAGAGAGAGAGCAGATGGGGGAGGAAAGGGGGTGATGACAGAAACTGTTAAATTAAAGAGCTTAACGCAGGATTTTACAGTTTTTATTTCTTAATTTTTTATATTTTACTAACGCTACCTCTGCTATTCTAATTTTTTTAACGACTTACTTGGTTATTTACAAGTACAGTAGTAAGCTTTACTTTCGTCTCTTAAAAAAATACAAACAGCTTTAGCACTATGATAACCAAATAACCATTTTTTTACTGTGCTAATACCATTTAAGTGACCACTAATATAAAGACGCAATTATATGTTGCGTGTTTTGAAGTGGCTAACAAGACTATCTCTATATCTGTGCAGAGAATGATTGCGACATTAACTATATTAGGCACGTGCAATTTCTATTGTCTTTCTTTTCCAAAAGCCTTTGATGAAGGAGCGAGTAGAAGATAGATTTGGAAAAATGGGAGGGGGGCATCGAAGACTATCTCTGTATGTGCGCAGACAATGATTGCGACAGTAACCATATTAGACACGTGTGATTTCTATTTTCTTTCTTTTCCATTTAGCCAAACTATGCCACAGCTACGCTTGGCCGGGTACAGCTAGTATATATATATATATATATATATATATATATATATATATATATATATATATATATATATATATATATATATATATATATATATATATATATATATATATATATATATATATGATTATTGTGGATACTATAACAGATGATTATGATAAGAATAATGATGCAAATAACAATGGACATGATCACAATTTCTCTAGCTTGTGCCCTAC